ATACAGCAATCCAGCTAGTTTTGATGACTATAGATTACTTCAAGGATTTCCAAAAAAAAAAATTTTTTTTTTTTTCTACAGCAGTGTATTTGTAGTAGTTGTGTGTTACATGTATTACATTAACACTGTTAAATTTTTTTTCTTGAGTTTAAAGCCCCCCTATACACTTTGAGTATCAGATAAATTGTGTTTGTGTGCCCCCCCTTGCACGCTAGTCTCATCAAAAGTGAAGAGGTTACGAAATTTCTTAAATGACAGAATAAAAATTCTGAAGAATGTATTGCATTTTCAGATGACTACTATACTGGTTAAACGAAAATCGTATGATCTGGTATCTTACAATTTGCGGGTTTGTCCCTTCTAATGTTTTCAGACAATTGCTGTGTACTAACAATCAGATTATCATACGATCGCTTTAAAAGCGACATTTATCATACAATATTCCGATTTATGTAGATGGGGCCAAGCATGTTAACTTAAAAATTTTTTATTTTATTTTTGTTATTTTTTTTTTTCTTTCTCCTTCTGCAGCCTGTATAAGCAACTTGATGGTCTATTTTGTTCATGTATGTTTGCAGAGGAATGTTTTTAAGGCTAAAGAAAATAATCACAACTGTATTTGTGGGAGAATAAATGCAGAATTTAGGCTGCATTCACACAAGCGTGTTTTGAAGCTGTAAAACGTAATCCATTGTTCTCTATGGTGCCTTTTTGTGCAATTCGACCTTCTTTTTTTTTTTTTTTTTTTTTTTTTTTTTTTTTTTTTGCTCTTAGTGGGTCAATGGCTCCGGACGATTTTCGTGGTTCCTCCCCTTTTCAGTGATCGGGCATGTTGGAAAATTTGTGGGAAGAACAACCGATTTTCGACTGTCAAATCTTGCGATTGTTTTTCCGAAAAGAGAATATGCACATGAGCCGTGACCTGGAAGGAACATAAGTTTCGCCTGTTGTATGGGGTGAACTTTATGACTTGGTTTATCGATTTTTCAGAATTATTGTTGGCACCATTTGGATTACCGAGCGAATGACGGAATTCGAACCATGTGTGGCCTGCCTTAAGTTTGAGCTTCAAGCTGCAAAACGCTCAACTGTGATTTGAGTTGTCAAGTGTACATTAATTAGAGTGAAAAATGAGTAGACGGAAATGGTCTTTGTTGGGGGGGGGGGGGGGGGGGTGCTTTTAACAGCAAATGCCCAAAAACATGTATAAACTTGAGCCACTATGAGCGTGTGTGGGTTTTTTTTTTTTTTTTTTTGCTGAAGTTCTGGCACTTTTTACGTGTGTTTTTTTTTTTTTTTTTTTTTTTTTTTTTTTTTTTTTTTTTTTTTTTGGCTGCCTAGTGTGCATGGACCCTTAATGTATATTTAAAAGGCCTATGCCATGAGTAGTATAGGGGCTTCCATTGCTAGTCTTTCTGAAAAGTCTAATTTGCCTGGTGTCAGTGGGTAGTCTTGCTTTGTGAGAAGCAATGGCAAAATTCAAACCTTGTGTACCGCTGCTAGGCCGAAGTATGTAATCTAAAAAAAAATTTTAAAAGCCCTATAACTAGAGAACCCTGAAATTTTTTTTTTGTTTTTTTTTTACCATTCCTAAGGTGCCAACATATCTGTGGAAAAGCAGAATGGGCTAGGACTGGAAGTGTCAGGACTACTAAACTCCTCCTATGCCTCCTCCCCATAGCATAGGATTCAGGTGTCCTGTAGTCCTCCAGGCAGCGCTGATAAAAAAGCAGAATTCAGTGCAACATTAGAGCTCAACCACTTGGACATGTATAGGTATATACAGAGAGAATCCGGTGCATTTCCTCTCCAGTAGTTGTAGATTCTGAGCAATTGCCACCTGTACAAACCAATGGCAGGCTCAGATGCTCCAGGCGTTTGCACATCCACGTGTTTACACACATACAGGGGTGGAAGAGTGTCCCTGTACATGAACAGATCACTGGACTAGTAGCTGGTACATTTTTGCATTTATTGAACAGACTTGGCAAGACTTTCAATTGTGTGTGTAGACCAATCAGAGCAGATCAAGCTGTGCTCTGTCTGAATTATTATTATTATATAGGATTTATATAGCGCCAACAGTTTGCTCAGCGCTTTACAATATAACAGGAGACAATACAGTTCAATACAAGAGGGAAAGGAGGGCCCTGCTCCTTGGAGATTACAATCTAGGAGGGAGGGGCTAGTGGTACAAAAGGTAGTAACTGTGGGGGGTGGACTGGTTGGAAGAGTAGAAGATTCCATTATTGGCTGAGGGCAGGATAGGCATCCCTGAAGAGAGGTTTTCAGAGATCGCCTAAAAGTGAGCAGAGTAGGCGATAGTCTGATAAATTGGGGTAGAGAGTTCCAGAGGATGGGGGAAGCTCTGGAGACGAGTATGGGAGGAGGAGACCAGGGAGCTAGAGAGCAGGAGGTCGTGCGAGGAGCGGAGAGTACGGTTAGGGTGATATTTAGAGACAAGATCGGTGATGTAATTTGGGGCTGAGTTATAAATGGCTTTATACGTTATTGTTAATGTTTTGAATTTTATCCGTTGGGCAATGGGAAGCCAGTGGAGGGTTTGGCAGAGAGGGGTGGCAGATACAGAACAGTTAGTAAGGTGTCTAAGTCTGGCAGCAGCATTCATCATAGACTAAAGAGGGGATAGCCTGCGATTTGGTAAGTCAGTGAGGAGGGAGTTACCATAGTCAAGGCGAGATCTAACAAGGGAGTGAATAAGTTGCTTAGTGGTTTCCGAGGTTAGGAACGGGCGTATCTTGGAGATGTTGCGGAGGTGAAATTAGGAATTAAAAGGATAAAAAAAACTTTCACATTAAAGTGTTGCATGTTCAGCCCTTCCTGTAAAGTGATGCATACTGTCCAAAATGTATGAAAGTCTGAACTTTGCAAACATGTCATCTCTAATTCTGTAACTGTAAGTCTTTGTATATAATGTGTGTGAATATATAAGGCCAGGCCTGGAACACTGTGTAAAGTTTAGAATAACAGTTGTAGGTCCTAAAATAATCATCTGGAACATTTCCTTGTTTGAAGAAATTTGAAACAGAGGGGAGAAGTATGTGTGGAATGTTCCAGGGTGAGATCACCAGAATTCTTCTCTACACTCTCTCCTGCAGCAATGTGCCTGCCCATAAAACACACATCTTCATGACAAACCGCTCCATTGGGGGGGGGGGGGGGGGGGGGATGGGGTTCTATAGAATTAGTTTCTGTGGTGGTGGGGTTTATCAGATTTTTTTTAATTTAAATGGAAACCATTTTTGGGGTTTTGACTATGCAGCCAGCATTCTTGATGGATCAAAATGTAGATTGCGTTTACAATATGGCTGATGTCAGACAGGTGACTGCTGATGGCATCAGATTCGCTACAGAAGAGGCTGCCTGCATGTCCTTGTGGATTGCTCTTTCGCCAGCTGAACCACTTCCTTGAACACTGCAGCATCTCTATTGCTAGTAATGGGAGCAATAATTAATTAAAAGCCTCACTTGGCAAAAGAACCATTCCATAGGGACAAATGGGCAGCCATTGTGATTATGCCACTAGGAATTGCAACCAGTTGCCAAAGGAATGATTGTTGGTGTGAGGCCCATCTGACATCAGCCTACATGGGAGAGTTCTCAAAGGGCTGCCTTGGTGGCATGGCAATAAAGCAGCAGTAACTCTGCCATTTTTGGTACCACCAGAGAGCTTGGAGAGCAGCAAAAGGGCAGAACCTGCTGCAGACATCACTTGTCCACCATTACCTTTAGATGTTGGCTGCCAGCACAGTACCTCCATGTTTCATGACTAAAGTATTCCTGAAAGCAGAGTATCATGACTATCATCACCAGATCGAGCCTCTGTAGTGCTCCACCTTCTAGGCTGCATCTTTTCATTGAGTAATTGGAAAGCCAGATCATGTGACCTGATTTTAAAATTTTTTTTTTTACAATTTTATAGTTAAAGCTTTTTGCATTGGATACTTCTGTACATTGTGGTGCCCTGATTACACTTTTAACGTGTAACTTAACCCATGGCATGAAAAGTTGGCATACCTTCCATATTAATTGCACTGGTAAAATTGGTGCGTACTGTAAATTGCCTCCAGCATTGTTCCTGTCTTGTTGGAAGCTACCATTTTGCTTCTGGTGCTCAGGGGCTCTGAGCTTCTTCAAATTAGATCATGCTTTGCTGGGTTTTTTGCTTTGTCCTGGATCAACTGTAGGTATAGGATTATACCCCCCCCCCCTTTTTTTTTTTTTTTTTTTTTTTTTTTTTAAATACCCTAGCCAGACTAGCTATGTAGCAGTATATCTTTAGGCGGTCAGCAGATCAGCCTCTACATTTTTGGCATGGTACCAAAAAATAGAGCAACTGTGCAGGGCGAGGCAGTGTATTACTGTATTTTAAACTATATAGGTACTCATTTTTAATGTGTTAACTATACCTGCAAAAGGGGCCAGCATAAAGTGACCTAACAGGACTTGGAAACATGCCACTTTAATAATCCTATGTGTTGCGCAAATAGGGGCCTTCAACGTGTCTACCAACTGAGTTGTGTGAAGCCTTATTACAGGTTGACCTGTGTGCCTGTGGCAATTTTAACTTTAAACACTTAAGGTAGTATTCCCTTACGTCTAAAATGGTTACACGGCTTGTTGGCTTATGATTAAAATTTCATGCTGGAGGGTTGAATTGCCTATGTATTTCATGTCCCTCGGGGCTGTGGCAGGGAATTTTTTGCTGCTAAAATAACTAGTAGGCTCTGCCTATATCTGAAATCGTCTGTTTTGGATGGGCTTTTTATCACTTTGGATATAGTAGGAACTGTAGGATGGATTTTATTGCTGTCCCTCTGGGATGACTAAAGCTGTGTGTCATGGTGACCATTGTCCTTTAGGACAAAAGTTTTTGAAATCCAAATCCTGGAAAGTACAGGTATAGACAGGAAAACTTTTTTTGCTCAGTGACAGCTGTCTGGGGATTCCTTCTTTTTTTTTTTTTTTTTTTTTTTTTTTTTTTTTGCTTAATACTTTATAAGGATAAATGACTACAATGTGTATGGGATGAAACAAAGTGACTAAACATTGTGTAGATGTACAGGAGTAGTAATTGATGATCTGTCTTTTTAGGTTCTCCTTATTACGACAATGTCCGCCCGCTCTCATACCCGGACTCTGATGCCGTCTTGATATGTTTTGACATCAGCCGTCCTGAAACACTGGATAGCGTACTTAAAAAGGTAACTTCATTTCTCCTACAGCAGAGCTGTCACTACAGCCCTGTAGTTTGCAAGTCAAAGGCATACATTGTTTGGAATATTTCATCTCATTCTGGACCGTTTTTTGTTCTAAATTTAAATTTGAGACGTATAGAACTAAAGTGTGTTGGTTTATTTATTATTTTTTTTTTGGGGGGGGGGGGGGGGAAATCCGTTCCTGTTCTTTCGTGGGGATGTGTGGTGTTTTTAATCTGTTAGATTGTACTGATATTCCATAATATTCTTTTGCAGTGGAAAGGTGAAATTCAGGAGTTCTGCCCCAATACAAAAATGCTGCTGGTTGGCTGCAAGTCTGATTTACGAACTGACCTCACAACACTAGTGGAATTGTCCAACCACAGGCAGACGCCGGTGTCTTATGATCAGGTATGTGAACCAAGAATACATTCCTCCCCCTTCCCAAGTCTCCATAGCTGGTCTAATGTTTGCAGTTGGTTGATGCTGGTTATGCTTCCTTATTACATTTTTTGTGAAAGCCTATAGGGGAACACACTCCTGGTGCAAAGGTCATAGTTTTTTGTAGCGTAACTGGATGGTCCAAATGGCCAGTGATCTTCATTTTACTACTGATTACAGAAAAAGCAAACAAACTGGTAGAGGGGCCTGTCCCAAATACAGATGACATGACTTGGGGTTTGTTAGGAATGTAGAAATTATGGTGGAACCCTAGGGGTGCCTCTAAAGGCATAGCTTGAACTAATGAGGATTTAAGATTAATCGTGACACCAACTGAGGTAAAATTGGGAACTGTGCCTATATGCAGGAAATGGTATAGGTCAGTCTCAAATTTTTCAACCCTTGAACTTTTTTAGCAGGGGTTCCATGAGACCAGAAAAGTTTTATATCTACAACTCCTGATACATTAATGTGGTGGTCAGTGGGAATAATGCTCCCTACACTTGCAGTCATTAGGAAGAATTACCCTTTACAGATGGCTAAAAAGATCAATGGTGTCAGTGGGAACTTGCCTGAGAGGCAGATATTGCTCAAGGAACCCCTAGTAACCTCTGGAGGAACCCTAGATGAGAAGCCCTGGTGTAAATAATCTGACTCCTTGCCATTAGAGGTGCTGGCTGCCTAGCTGGCACAATGACATTCACAAAAATGGAGGTGCCATAATAAAAGGGAGTTGTCTTTGTCCCCTTAATGGAACATTGAGGTTGACAGTTCAAGCTCTATCTTGTCTCAGGTGCCTTTACTGACTACCCCCCATCTAGTAGCTCTCACACAGTAAACCAGGGTATAAGTTGTGAACATGTAGCTAGGTATTTCCCCATACCAGCAGTGGGAAGCCAGCTGGAAGATCCCTATCTTGTATTAAGATCTGATGCCAAAGACCTTACAGTGTTTTACTTCAAATCTGTATAAATTGAAGATATCAGAATTACTGCTATTCCTTTTATCTCTCTGTACCTTGCGATTTCTCTCCTGTGTTCCTAGCAGATAGCTAATTATAGTTAATGCAATGTGAAGTAATTACAGGTCTGTATTCGCTGTTTAGGATTTGTCACAATGTGAATCTAAAGCCTCCAAGATTTTACTTAAATCTAGATTACCATCACCAGCTTTTGTAGTTTTCAGAGATGTCTTACCCTCTGCAATTATCATTTTAGTTGCATTCAGTAATCTGCCACAAGCAAATCAAGTGACTGAGGTGCTGCTTTCCAGTTTGTTATGTAACTTGTGTATTCTATCATTACCTTAAGTAACATTTTGTTAGTACAGAGTCAGTGCTTTTTTGCATGTAATGCATTAATGGCACTGGGCAGGAAGGGGTTAACATGAGGGGCGATCAAAGGGGTTATCTGTGTGCGGGGAGTTTCTACTATGGGGCAATGTTTGTGCTTCACTGTAATCACACTGCTTTGGATGGCTGTGCTGTGACAGAGGATAGCTGTTTTGTTTACAAACAGTTCTTCTCCCCGTCGGAGATGTTTGCAAGCGCTGGGACCCGGTGAATGACAGCCACGGCCACGAATGGCAGGGCGCACACGCGCCCCCTACCTGGAAATGCAAAAGTGTTTTTTGCGCACCTTTGTCACCCTGTAGCAGTTCGTTTATTTGCTTGAAGTACCACTGTATACAAACTGCTACTTAGTCCAGTTTTTTTATAGTTGATAAGAATGGCCTTAGATCTGCCTCATATTTGTAGATCAGATGTGGACTTCAGAGACCCTGTCACTTTGTCTGAAATGGGAAAAGTAACCAGAATTTCTTGAAAGTTCCGGTTGCACTCCATAGCTGACATGCACTAGTCACTGATTTTGCTCCAGAACGAGATCCAGTTTTTTCATATTTTGTTCACACAAGGTAAACACTTGGCACACCATTTGATTCAATGCTCTAGTTGGTTATCTGCCAATCAAATGCTAGCAGACCTGTCTTTTAGCACCTTAGGCCCCTTAATCATCTTTCAATTGAAACCCTTCCCTGACAAAATCCCAACTATTCAAACTCCATCTCACCAAGTTTGAACTGGAAAGCCAAGCTTCTGGCCACTTTCTGCATTCATTGTTCTACACTTACAGCCAGCTAATCTCAGAATCGTCAGAAGCAACACCAAGCTTCCTAGCTGCATCGGGATCTGACCTTTTTTTAATACAGAGCTCTCTCTCCTTAAGCTAACCCCAACATTCTCACAATCTTTCCGCTCCTCAATTTGTAACAAGGAGTAGCAGGAAAGTAGCATTCTCAAAAAGAGAATATGCCAGTGGTAGCCTTCATCTTTAGTTGTAGTTGGCCACATTCAACTGGGTTTCTTCTGTAATGTTTCACAGCTTCCCCTAGCCAGTTCTTTTAAACCTGAAGTGGTTTGGATAAGCTGAACACCTTCAACATTGCAGCACCCATCCATTTGAATGTGACTACTAACATGACTGGAAGAAATGAGAACCTTCAGACATAGATTGATGGTCCTGTTTTTTCTTATGACAGTTATTCTCGGTTTAGGCTGTAGATGGAATTTTTTTAAGCTAATTTTAGAAATCTCAAAATTGATGCAAATTGATTGTTGTCCCATTTAGTGCTTCTTCTAACTGAGCATTTTTCTTCTAGGGCGCCAATATGGCCAAGCAAATTGGAGCAGCCACTTACATTGAATGCTCAGCCTTACAGTCGGAGAACAGTGTGAGGGACATTTTCCATGTAGCCACACTGGCATGCGTCAACAAGTCAAACAAAAATCTCAAACGGAATAAAACCCAGAGAACCACAAAAAGAATTTCCCACATGCCAAGCAGACCAGAGCTGACTGCAGTGGCCACAGACTTAAGAAAGGACAAAGCTAAAAGCTGCAGCATAATGTGAGGCGCCTTGGTTGCGGTGAGGTTTCTATGAAGATTTAGTGAAGGATCTATGAAGGGAGCGGTCAGAGGAATTTGATGTTTGGGTAAAGCCAAGTTGACAAGGATTTTCTTTACCATTGGTACTCAAGGATGCAGCATGTTAGAGTGGAGCGGAAAAGTTGGGTTATTTCCGCAGACACTGTTTGGAAGGAAGCTAAGCCAAACAAACCCCCAGAAGTGATTGGAACGTGTAGATGGATGGGGAAAATCCTCTTCATCTCTTGAAAATGATCAGTCTTGAATTTCATCTATTTCTTTGCATTCTTGGCCGAAATAAGCATACCATGCTTACTCAATGCTGACTCTAGTGATGCTGTTTGCACTCTGGAATATGATCCTTTGACTCTTCTAAACACGTAGGTGAAGACCACGATGGTCAGTTGGGATCTTCTACAAAAGGAAATTTTTGGGAAGTTTAATTGGTTTTCCCATTTGTATAACGTTCTTGCACAGCTGCGTAGGCTAGATAGTACATGGTACTTTTTTATGACCTAGCTTTTTAATGTGATAGTTTTATTTTTAAGATATGTTTAGCTGTTATTTAAACTGGGAATGAATCGGCTATTGAAACATATTAGGCAGTCAGTTCATTCTATGACAGTTAAAACTGAAGGTGCTAGACACATTCATCCGTGTCAGTGGGTCATGTCCCTCCAAGGTCTCTGGAAAATGAGTAGTCATTTTAAAGTCCAACTCCAAGCAAAACTTTGGGAGCAAGTGGGGTACTGGTTAAAACAACCATTGTAACTCTTGCCCACTCCACAGTCAGAAAACAGAGTGGGCTGGAGATATTAACTGCATTTGATCTCCCTTGCTGCATCGAGTGCTTTTCAAAATGAATCAGACTTCTCTTGCTTAAACGTCCTCATCTAACAATTGTACAAGAACTTTAATTTCTTGTTGGCCATGATGTGTGACCATTCTGCTTAAAAAGGGTAGAGGACCTCTCATGTTGGTAATCATAATGCTTCAGAGGAGGAAAGGGAAGGAGAGCCACTATACTGTTGTGTGTTCTTTACTGTTCTGTGTGGTTTTTGTTCATGTTTTTGAAGGTTTTAGTGTATTTTTAAAGATCATTCTCCTATTAGTAGGTTACTTTGCCGAATGTACAACTGAGACTTGTATTCATACCTGTCATCTGTTGCTCTGCTTTGTGGTCATGCAAACAGGATTCAGATGGAGTAGTAGAAATTAACACCTTAAATAACCACCATAACAAAGAATGAATATGCTTCCTTATTTCCAGAAAGATCTAATTCACAAATATGTATTTGTAAAAATGCTCAAGTTTGTATAGAAATTGAAATTTCACAGTTCTGTCATTAGGCTGGGATTTTTTTTTCTTCATACCTGCTATGGTCCAAAGGAGTTACTTCCTCAACTTTACACTTTTAAAGTTCCTTATGTTTATTTTGCATATCTTTTGGACAAAATAAGGGGAGGGACCTTCAGCACAGCCTGTAATTGACAGCAAAAAACTAAATATTTTTTTATTTTGAGTTTTACTAGGATGTTCAGGTCAAATGGCTGGGTACGTGTATAGGAGGATTTGTTTCACCTATGTATCCCCTGTGGCCAGTCACTTCAGTAGATATAGGTAAGGGTTTACAATCACTTTAAAGCTCACCCCAGCACCGTGAGGTAGGAAGCAGTACAGATGCGATTGAGTTTTTTGTCTCTTTATAACCATGGCCACAATGGCAGCTGTCATAGTTCTGAAGGATCACTTTAGGCTGCTTTATGTACACCAGTTTTACATGGCATACAAATTACACTAGTTTAATATTTCAATTCTGGATAGTTCCTTTTTTAACCCTTCTTGCATACACCCCGTTTTTATATTTCATAAAATACACTAGAACCTTCATAAGGCAAAATAGTTTTCCCTCCTTCCTTTGCTTCGTTATGTTTACTACAAAGCCAAAGTTTGATAGCCCCCCTTTCTTCCTTTTTTTTTTTTTTTTTTTTTTTTTTTTTTTTTTTTTCTCCTCTTCGCAGTAGCTGGGAGGTCTGATCATATAAACAGGAAAAAATTCAGCTACTACATATCTTGCTGACTGTTGCTTGTTGAATGCAAGCATTCTTTCCATTAATGGCTTCGTTATTTGAAGCGCGAGTCTGTGTTATGACAGTTAAATCCTGTGTTTCATGTGTAGACAAGCACTGTGTCATATCTGTAGAAGAGCATTAGGCGGTCTCAGGCATTCCAGTTGTCTTTCCAACTCAGAGGACAGGACGGGGTGTAAAAAAAAAAAGCTGCAGCCTATCCCTGTCCTCTGCCATCAGATCTGATATTAACCACGACAGTACTCTCTCCATAACGCAGCTACGTGCTTTGGGCAGTATTACAACAACCTAGCTAGCAAGTGCTTACTTTATATTTAAATATTGTAACAAAGCAATTTAAATTATACATGTCTGACAGCTGGGCAACATAACTTTTCAATGTCTGTCACCTTGTACGTTTTGATTTTGTAAATGTTTCTGCAATATTTATTTTTTTTTTCTTTTGAATAATAAAGGCTTCATTAAGTTTATTCTGTCTCCTGTGTTTCTGTTAAAAAGCTCTTTCATTTATGCACCCAAAACCAGTCCATAGTGTGTGGATTTTTTTTTTTTTTCTGTTAGTATTTTTAAGTAAACAAGTGTGTGTATGTTCAAAGAAATGAAGGGTAATTTTTATCATAGGTGTATTTTTAATAGACAGAATATCAACCAAAAATCCAGAAGACACATGATACAAATGATATAAATTGAGTTGTGGGTCAGTGAGTAAAATCCCCTACCAACCAACAATTCTAGCTCCCATAGACTGGCTATGTGGTACACAGATTAATCCTGTCCATTTTAAGAAGGTGCTCCTAACGACAACTTGTATATAAAAGACACCTGTTCATAGAATCTTTCATTCAAACCTCACCACCATGGGCAAGGCCAAAGCTTTCAAACGACATCAGGGACAAGATTGTAGACCCGCACAAGGCTGGAATGGGCTAAAAGACCATTACCAAGAAGCTAGGAGACAACTGTGGGAGCGATTTATACGCAAATGGATATACAAAATAAATCTCAATTGCCCTCAGTATGGAGCTCCATGCAAGATTTTTCATGACAATCCTTACCCCATGATGCAAAGTGAGGGATCAGCCCAGAACTACACAGGAAGAGGAGCTTGTGAATGATCTCAAGGCAGTTGGGGCCACAGTCCCCAAACAAACCATTGGTAACACAATATGCCACCATAGATTGAAATCCTGCAGTGCCCCCAAGGTCCCCCTCAAGATAACTAATGGCAGTCAGGGTGCCATTGTCTAGCCTGTAGGTCTGGGCGTCCCTCAGATATGCCTCCCCAGACCATCACTGACCCACCACCAAAACGGTCACACTGAACAATGTTACAGGCAGCATAATGTTGTCCATGCCTTCTCCAGACCCTTGCACATCTGTTACATGTGCTCAGGGTGAACCTGCTCTCATCCTGTGAAAAGCACAGGATGCAAGTGCTAATTCTTGTGTTCAATAGCAAATGCCAATCAAGCTCTTTGGTGCCAGGCAGTGAGCACAGGGCCCACTAGAGGATGTTCATGAAGTATGGTTCTAATTGTTTAGTCAGACATTCACACCAGTGGCCTGCTGGAGGTTATTTTGTAGGGCTCTGGCAGTGCTCATCCTGTTCCTCCTTGCACAAAGGAGCAGATACCGGTCCTGCTGATGGGTTAAGGACCTGGCAACGGCACATATTGATGTGCCATCCTGGAGGAATTGCATTGCCTGTGCAATCTTTGTAGGGCCCAGGTATCGCCTCATGCTACCAGTAGTGACACTGACCCTAGCCAAATGCAAAACTAGTGAAAAACAGAAAAGATGAGTAGGTGAAAGTCTTTGTCCTCCACCTGTAAAACCATTCCTGTTTTGGTGGTTGGCTCATTGTTGCCCATCTAGTGCATCGGTTAATCAGTTTTAGCTGCTTATGGTGTTAATGAAATTAACCACCCCCCCTATGCTACCTAACTGACCAGATCAATATCCCAGGAGTTTAATTGACTTAATGCTTTCCTCTGATTAAAAAGTGTTTTTAATTTTTTGAGCAGTGTATATGCAGTGCTCAGCATAAATAAGTATACCCAGATTTACCAAAAAAAACTTTACATTTCCTTTCAGAATCAATATTTTATATCTGGGACTCTATACTACAAAATACTCCCACAAATGTGGGCCATTAATTTCAAACAAGATTCGTTAATTTGCACGCACAAAGTGATTTTTCCTAACAAATTCAAGACCATGTTGCAAAATCAAATACACCCCAATGAGTCTTAAGAGCAAAACTAAAGTTTTGGACCACAAAATCCTAATTAACAATTCAACTACAGGCAGGTCTAATTAAACAGGTGTCCAGCAGACAGTTGATTATAAAAGGGCATTATTTGAATGAACTATGACATTTTTCTTCCATGTGGTGCCATTGCTGATAGCAAATTTCCCAAGGCCTCAGAGAAAATAATTTCTTTACACAAAGGTGAAGCCTAAAAGATCAGCAAAGCTTTACTTATCAGTTAAAATACTGAAGCAAGTTATACAAAAATTTGCAAACTGCAACAATCTGAGACATCCTGTCTGTCCATGGACATTAACACCTTGACCGAGTCTTCTGATGAGAAGGGTTGAAAAAAATCACCATGCAAGTTCACTGCAAGTGGCTAAAGTAGCCAAACTGGGGTGATGGTTTCCTGTGACACAATACGGCATGTATGGCAGAGGAATGGCATGCATAGGTGTCCTCCAAAAAGAGCCTCTCTAAAGCCCATGCACAAAAAAAATCCCACCTAGAGTTTGCCTGGGCTCATGCTGAAAAAGACTACTGAGACTCTGTACTCTGGAGTGATGAGACCAAGATAAATGTTTTTGGAACTGATGGCTTCAAAACTGTATGGCGTTGCAAAGGTGAGACATACAAAGAAA